AAAAAAAAAAAAAAAAAAAAAAAAAAAAAAAAAAAAAAAAAAAAGACGGCTAAATTACAAAAAAATACTCGTGAAATTTATTTAAAAATTACAATATTAGCCTTTTTACTTTTTACTTTTTACAAATATTTCAAAATTACGGTTGTAATATAATTTTTTTTAATGAAAATTGGGATATGAAGTGATAAACGGGAACAAAAATACTCATGAAATTTATTTTTAAAATATTTATATTTTAAAATTACAATATTACCCTTTTTACTTTTTACAAATATTTCAAAATTACTGTTGTAATATAAATTTATTAGATTTTTTTTTATGAAAATTGGGATATGAAACATAGTGGTGATAAACGGGAACAAAAATACTAATTACAATATTACCCTTTTTACTTTTTACAGATATTTCAAAATTACGGTTGTAATATAAATTTATTATAATTCTTTCTTTTATGAAAATTGGGATATGAAACATAGTGGTGATGAACGGGAACAAAAATATTATATTTTGAAATCACTATTTAGAATATAAAATTAAATTTTTACTTTTTACAATTTTTTACTAATATAAATTAAAAGAACATAAATTTGAATTTTTTTTTTACCATATTATTAAATTTTATAAAACAAAAAAAGAAAAATATAAAATTGTTTGTAGGTATTAAAATAAATTGTCATGATTGAAAGTTGTCCCTAAAAGGAGCAAACAACATGTGCATTCATGGACATGAACCAACATGGAAGAAAGATACAACATGCCTCCAACTCATTGGTAGTTGTCTTCACATATGTGGTTGTGAAGTGTTCTTCCCTAATTTCATTAATTCCATTTCAATTTTGTATTTAATGCTCTAAAATTTACCTAAAATAATAATATTTATGTATACAAACCCTATTTATACGCATTTAAGATATTTTATAAATTATGAAATTTAATTTTAGTATTATAATATGAATAATTTTGTCTGAATTTTTTGTATTAATTTTATTTCTATTTTTTATTTAATGCTCTAAAATTGATGGGCCTATGGGCCTATGGGCCTTCTTTCGTACGAACTCATTTGGGCCCATTGGATCCGGAGAGATTTATTATTATTATTATTATTATCTGATTTTCTTTTTAAACTAAAAAAACTAACATAAATAAATAAACAAATAAAATATTGTAGCGCTGAAAGACGGTCAATTTTCAACATTAATTAGAAAAAGCAGTTAAAATTGTAGAATTAAAAGCAGTAAAAATAGTCAATTTTCAAGACAACTCCCATACAATTATATCAATTTTTGGTCACCTAAATCAACTCAACCGACAAGGTCACTTTTATAAAAATTTATCACTTTATAATTACTAAAAAATATATATATTAAAAGAAAAAAAAAAATATAACAGCTCGAGTCCAACCTGTTCGTTTTGACCCGTTACGTATTATTGTTAGTCTCACAGTTTTAAAAGTAATGCTTCTTTTCCGTCTCTAACGGACGTGAGATCTTACAATCCACCTCTCTTATAGGTTTAGCGTCTTTGTTGGCTCACCCTAATAGATACTATCCACTTTTGTTTGTTACGTATTGTTGTCAACCTCACTATTTTAAAACGTATTTAGTAGAAAAAAGTTTTTGTTTTACTCTTCCGTCTTTGAGAAAGAAAAGAAAATAAAATGGATAATATTTAAATATAAATTAAAGACATTCATATTGGAGAATATAAAATATAATAATAATGTGAAACTCGAGGGGGTGTCTGGTCTGCAGCCAACTTGAATTAAAAACAATAAAACAATCAATTGCTTTATCATAATATATTACGAAAACAAATTAATTAATTAATTAATTAATCTACAACTTTCTTTGAAATGAAAAGCACCGGAATTAAAATTAAATAATAAAGAAAAATGGCGGGGTCGACCGCAATTCAATTTACGGGTAAAGCAGAATTAATAAGTTTCTCAAATCCAGAGCAGGTCCAATTTGATTGGCCAATGAAAGGGAATTTTGGATTAAATAAATACGGCGGAAACGACAAGGAAATGCAAATGAAACGCGATGGTTGATTTGCTCAAGTCGTCACCCTCCACTTGTCGCTAATTGCGTTTTAATTCATTAATTAATTGATAATATTATTATTTAATAAGTTTAATTAATTTATAATTATTGGGTGTCCAACAGTCCTAATCCAAACCTTTGTGTAATGGGTATCTTTAAGTTTTTTCAAATTTTAATTTAATGTGAATTTAAGTCTTTAAATTTTGTATCTAAGATCCCATATCGGTCAGAGTGAGTAACAAAATATTTTTTACAAGAGTAGGTACGTTTTACAGCCGTGAGGTTGACGATAATACGTAACGAGTTAAAATGGACAATTTCTAGTAGTCGTGAACTTTGACTATTTACAAATGTGTTAAGAATGAGAAATATAAGCAAATGCTCGAATATTCCACCTTTGAGCTTTGACTATTTATTATATCTTTAAAAAAAAAACGAACATCTTGAATATGCCATGAACTTGGTGAGAAATTCGAAGATGCTTATAACGTATTATTGGATGATCGGCGGCTGTAAAGACTTCCCTAATTGAGTTAGGGTTTGACTTTGGCTCGGATACCAAACCCTAACTCAAGAGGAAATTTTGATATTTAAGAATACCAATATCAATGCTATGATACCACGTTAAGAATGATAAATATAATTGAGATGAAAGATATATTTTCGTTGATATTCATAAGCTTTAAATATGTTACAAGATAGCAACTAATAACTACGAATAAGGAAAATATAAACTAATTAAATATTCATAATAAAATAAAATATACTATGAATCAAATCATAAAGGAAATAATATTAATAATATATTCTTCAAATATTATATCTCAACAAAATAATATAAGAGCTAGACACTAGACAGTGTGTTAGCGAGGAGTGGATTGTGAGATTCTACATTAGTTGGAGGAGGGAATGAAGTATTGAGCTCAGACTGTTACAAATAGTAACAGAGCTAGACATCTAGTGTTGTGTCAACGAGGACGTTGGCCTTCAAGGGGGTAGATTATGAGATCCCTATATCGGTTGGATAGAGAAATAAAGAAACGAAGACGTGATGACAAACTAAAACGAATAATATCTGCGATGAGTTTGGGCTGTTACATGTATTAATTCAAAACATTAACCTTACTGAGTAATATTATATTATTATAAAAATTATAATAAGTGATTATATAATTAAAAAATGAAAAATTAAAAAAAATGACGTAAAAAATAAAAGGTAATGTACAGTGAAACACGGTTGCTTTGCTTCCGTGGGTGGGGCACAGGGATTGGTTCCCAAGAAGAAAAAAATATAAGGTAATTTAAAATAAATTTAAGGAAGCAAATATAAATATTTAAAGAAACCATAATTAGATCCGTCCTTGGAGTGACAAAGTTGGGAAATTCTTGTTTTTTTCAAAAAGTAAGTACAATAGCTTTGCACGTTGCCCACATTTTAGATCTGTCAATAGATAAAGTTGTAAATAATTAAATTTGGGGTCCCATTATGAAAATAATTTTTTTAATTATTTTATTTTCCATTGATTTCATGTTTTTATGAGAAATTATTTTATTTATTATATTTGTGTTACTTTAAGCAAATTATTGAACAACAGATTAGGAATGAAACGACAATTTCGTTGTCTTTACATAATAATTGAGTTTATTTATTTATTATTATTATTTTTTTATGAATCCAAAAGTTTAAATGGGTCAATTCCTCAAATGGGTTTTGTTGGGCTCACCTAATTGAGTGCGACGATTGAAGTAGAAGCGAAATGTGACGATGAGCTACACGACAATGATAATTATTCGAAAAATACCTGAAAAGGGACGGAAAAGAGTGAAAGGAGGTAACAGTTATAAGGATTGACGCATCAAGAGGTAACGATGATAATGATGCATCAAGCAATTATCAATTAATGAAGAGGAGACACAGTAAAACAGGCCAAGAAAGACTAACAACGAAATCCTAAAATTTAATATTCACGAGAACTAATCACTTGTATGAGTTAAGATGAGTTGGAAGTCCAAGTTTTTTTTCAATTAAAATATTCTATTAGACTAAAATGAAGATAATTTAAAATATACATATGGAAAGATAAGAATAAGACTACGTCTTCCAAAATTAAAATTGTAAAAAAAAAAAAAAAAAGCTTCCTATCTTTTAATATAAGTAAAGTTTTGAAGT